AACCAACCTAACACGACCAATCAACACCCATCCGTGAGGTTACATTTATATGGACACCCGATCAGACAAACATAGAAATGCAACCCATTTACTCATCAAAAAGCATGCCGCCAGGCTCCAACCCCCTTTCNTTTATATGGACACCCGATCAGACAAACATAGAAATGCAACCCATTTACTCATCAAAAAGCATGCCGCCAGGCTCCAACCCCCTTTCCACATATAGCGAGATTGAATAACCCGTTGTCTTCGAAGTGCCGCGAAAAATTCAGACCATGCCAACTTTGCCACTTCTCCTTGTAACCCCTAGCTCTCACTAAATCGATCCTCACATCTACTGGCGTAAGCGTGCTCGAACATCGCGGTGCCATTCCCCCTTCCAACCGCCAACATAATGGCCGACACTTCGCCGCTCTAATTCCGTGTTACTTCGAATATTGTCAGTGTAGTGATAGATGCACAGCCTACTTGTAGTAGCCAATCGTTTTCATATCCCCTCCATTCCCCCATCAATCCATATTCCTACTCATATCCTATCCCTCGTTACTATCCCTGCGCCTGTACATCTTTCCCCTCAGATCCTATCCACGCTAGGGCCAAAGATTCCTTCGATCAATCTATCTCCTTCACCGCCTTACAACGCGCTCGCTATATCAGCTCTCATATTCTCCGGTCCTGATATGACTGATTAATGCGAAGTGCAATCTCCTTCCGGCAGCCCATACATAAGAGGGAATACCGAGGACCTAATTCAACGATGCAGGACTAAAATGCCGATTACCGCCGACATCGTGGTAGAAGAACAGTACGTTTAAGCCCGTAGATCGCTTTTTTAGCCCCTCCCTCCCCCTACTCCAGATTTCCCATCTATATCCGAACCCACTCCATAGCAACTATAACCCCATCCATCCTAATCTATATCCAAGTTCCACCAAGGCAAGCAACCCCTTCCATCGTCCTTCCATCGATCGTTGAGACCTTCCACTGTGCAGCGATCCCCGACGAATTGTTATTGGTATAGCGAACTCTGCAACCGTCCGCCCCTAATGCAAAAAACCCCACGAGCACGAAGAGGGCAAACCGCGGACATCAACACAATAGTGCCCGCCATATACATAGCCTCCACACAAAATACCTCACTCTTGCTTTTCCATTCAAGACAGCCGCACGTGCACCGTTTCCTCAACCCCTGCCACTGTCGCTGCAGTTGTATACCCCTCCTGGCAAATCCGAACCAAAGGCGGGCCACCGATTCCCCCTATCACCCCCTTCTCTTTATTGCATCGCACTAAGCTCGTCAACCTATTCTCCACCCACTTTTTTTTTTGTTCAAGCCTCAACAGATTACTGCGACACCCAATCTCTTGCAGGCTACATATACACCAGAAGGAACACTGAAGACCTGAACCATCGATACAGGATTAACCCACCGATTATCGCCAACATCGTGATAAACGAACAGCATGCCTGAACCAATAGATCGCTCTTATAACACACCCCCTCCCTTCCAGTCTAGACCCCCATCCATACCCTAATCGTCGCCATGGTTACAGTAGTCACACATATCCCCATCCATATCACAAACATCAACAGGCAAATCATCCCCTCCATCATTCTACTCCTTTCGACAAAATTTCTGCTGTGTAGTGAACACAGATGAGTTGCCGCTGGTATGGACGAATCCACAGTCACACACTCTTTGTGGAGAAAACTCCATAAACGTGAAGAAGGTCAGTAACGCCAGGAAGATTGCAAAGATCGACACTATAGCAACAACCACATACGCAGACTCCATACGGAAAATCTCACCCTCGCCTTCTGCTCAATGATTACTGCTCGCAAACCAATTCCTACATCATCACTCGTATGCATATAGTCATCAAGGTACAAACCACCAATGAAAGGAGCCAAACGAGGTTAGGTAATACCATGCACCGGGGAAACAAAGATTATGCCGTAGTATAAAATTCCCATTTCAACTTAACGACCCCAATGTGCCGACGAAACAGTAGGGTAACTAGTAGGAAGTCCCAAAAGCTTTTTCGCCAATCCCTACTATGATTGGCTCATCAGGGGGCACATTACCCTTAGTTATCGTGTTGAAAGGGATAAGGCTTTCTTTTAAGCCCGAGGGGAGGAAGGATAGGCTGTGAGCAATGAGGGTGGGGACAAGAATTCATTACCACACTTGGCGGAGCCGCTGGTTCTCCCATTTCCGATATCCGATGGTCGAATCAAGCAGTTCTCCACACGTGAATGCAGATGATCAGGAGAGAGCAAGCAGAGGCGCAGGTAACCACTATGCGCAGTAGAAAGCACCGCAAGGATATGAGAGTCAGATGAGGGAGAAAAACATCACCGCAATGCAACGGGCGGAGTTTAGCCAGGGAGCATCGTTTCAGACAAGCCTCCTCAGCCGTAGGGACTATGGCGCATAGCCGCGCACCTCCACTCCCACCTATATACGATGAACTTAGAACACTCGCGGCCGACGATACTCCGCCGATTGAGGGAGGAATTCATCGGGCCGCCCACTTAAGTAGGACCGGCTCAACCAAACGAGTAGCTCGTCACTCGGTCAGAAATTCCTACAGGATACCATCCTCTATGTGCTATTTTTTAGCCACCCTGAGGAGGACATGGCGTGGGTTTGTGTGGGTGACCTTTACCCCTCATATTAACTCACCGAAATACCTTTTAGGTCCTTAAGAAAAACACCTTTGAATATATTAATATATGGAAAACTCAGTTCCTTTGGGAGAGGGAAGGGAGCACCCTTTTTTTTTTAAAAACCGTTTCCTATCCAGAAATTAGTCGTTGGCCGCCCCCCCTATAGGGGTTTTTTTATGAGGTTTATATATTTATGTATATATATAAATATAAATATATATATATATATATATATATATATATGGGTCTGTAAGTATGCGTGTGTGTGTGTGTGTGTGTGTGTGACCCACCCGTGTCTCGCTGGCAGGTTACTGCTGAGGCAGGTGACAGGTACCTGCCTCAACAGCAAGGTACCTGCCAGCCACCATTCTCAGTCCTGTCCGGTCGGGACTGAAAATGTTTTATGATTAGATACAGAGCACCATAAACACACCATCATTCTCACACATGCATAAACGGGGAGTGACAGTACGGTACCTTGAAGATGCGGCTCGTATCCCGGACGTTCATCCTGGGTTTCATGTAGAGTTGTGGAGAATCAAGAACCAAATAAACGCATCGCAAACATTTCTGTCTATGGAATCCGTTTTCAATCATTTCGTTGACAGTATACCAAATTTCGTTGGCAGCATCAATGGGCCTAGAGCACAAAACAAGGATTTTGGCGACCTGGGAAATAATAATGTTCACGGACTGCTGGATGTGCCGGTTTGAATGATACTTCACATATTTCGAAATGGAGAAGTCCAACAACCTTCGTTTATCAAATTCTGTAGTGACAAATTCCCCAGTTTCCCCGGAAATCACCGAGATTTCCACATTCAAGAATTGGGTCTTTACCCCATAAACTTCCCCCATTGCACTCTTGGTGAAAGCTTGCGTTTGGTTTTTGATTTCTATTAGGTTCATAGGGTACAGCCTATACAAGTCCTCCCCCTTATTTGGAGGATCCATTTCCAGAAACTTATTAATGAGCGGATTATTCTAACTATGCAAATCATCAATATACCTGAATGTATGTTTGAATAGAGGAAGAATATCGTAGGCCCTGCTATCAATTAACCTCATTATCATCATATATTCATATTTAAAAAAATAGACCGTGCAGAAAACCGGAGAACAGGGAAGACCCATAGGGATACCAAGGCTATAAAAGAACCTCGATTATATGTAAAAACGCCCACCGAGGCTAGTAAAGCATCTATCCACCGAGGCTAGTAAAGCATCCATCCAGCACCCACTGCACCAGCAGGCTTATCCACTCCCTGGTGAGGTATAGGATCCTATCTGATTCCGGTCCTGCCCTTTCCACGAAACAGCATGAGACATCCCCCCTTGGCGAAATTTTATATTTAATCAATTTCGCTCTTCCCAGCACTTTCCACCCTTGGTCCAAGAAAAATTCTACCACGGCTGGAAGTCCATCTTCCTCCCCCCAGATGGGTATCGTTTCGAAACATCTCGATATGTCCGCGGAATACGCGGAAAAAACCTTCTCAGGAATGTTATAACAGTAGTCTTGGACAGAATCAATCGACCACCATATAGATGTACTTACCCTATGAAAGTTCTCCAACCCATCCGTGATTACCTTGCACCTACTCTTTACCATAAGAATGACCGTTTTTATGGAGACGTCACAAATCTTTGCAACTAGCGTGAGAAACGACGAGGAAGTATGGGTGATCCATCTGAACGTTTTTTTGTGATGCTTGTATAATGCCATTAGGAAAGGGATTCTACTGCAGATTTCAGGTCCATCGGGTAGAATCTTCCGAAACAATTCGTTAGCCTCCGTAATGATCTGCTCTGGCGAGCATAATATGGGTATGAAATCCTCGCTGCTAAGCCGGTCCATGGCCATTTTTCGAACCAGGTGGATGCAGGCAAATGACGGTGTGTTAGGCACCTTATCCGTTCCGGATATGAACACATTGTTCGTGAGAAAGCTAGCCTCACTCCTAACCGCATGGTTGTCCAGTATGCACGGAGGGTCCTGATGCCTCATGAGGACAGAGGAAGATAACTGTTGCGTGATCTGTTGTTTGACAAACTTAGACGCTTCCCTGATAGTGTCACCGGGAAGGAACGTTCTGGAGGTGGTTAACTCAATGATCCTTTCCCAAGCCTTGATGTATTCCCCTTTTGCCCTCGCAGCAATCATAGGTTGCGGCGGTATATGATTCATACCATTTTTGAGGAGCGCACTCAGCATTCCATTTCTGGAGATGCCAGGGTCGAGGGACAAGGTATGGGTCGAAGGAACAGGGAAGGTTTGTGCCATATTCTTAGTACATTCCATATGGAAGGCGAGGAATCGTTTTTGTGTACACGGGCACAAACGTTTATCGGTACACTCAGCGATCCAGTCCTCGAGGCAGAAATCCCTGATGACCTCTGTGGGCAACGATGGGAAACGAGATGATAGACTCCAGGGTTTTACTGTACGTCCAATCAATAACAATGGATGAAAGAAGGATAATAGCCGCCGGGGAAAAGAACAGAGAGAAGGCCTTCTCCAGGATTTTCCTGAACCCGACCGCCTCCATAGCTCGATTAGCATATTTAATGTGCATAAACATGCTGCCCTTTTCCTTCTGTTTTGCCATCCATTTATATCTTCCCGCTTCATCCACCATGAGCATCCCCATTGAATCCTGCACATACATACATGCATACACTAAATTAAGCAGGATACTTATACCGAGAACAAGTTTGTTCTTGCTGTAGTTGCCCTGGGGCTTCTCCTCAGCTGCCTGCCGACAACCGAGCTCCCCTGCGCCGATTGGACCGTGACTGAAGAGCTGTGAGGGGTGTCCATAGCCGCATTGCCCTTCGAGCTTTCATTGGGTGAGACCGACCCGTGCAACTGCTGAGCCGCCGCCTGCTGCTCGTTTTGCGCCTCATTTGCCATGCCTGGCCTAACGTAATATTTAAGCAGCGTGTTGCTCTGTCTCTTCGCTGGCCGATTGTCCACCTCCTTCCCCTTTCTCCTCCTAGCGGGGCTTCTGATGTACTTGTCCGGGAGGATCAGCGCCGCCATCCTCCGCGGAAACTTTCTTGCCATCACTACCGGGTCATCATGGATTGTTTCCCTTCTCCTATTGAGATCGAGAACTACGTTTTCGGCCATTTGTGTCATGATGGTTCTCATGTGTGTGAACACTACCGAGGTCAGAATGGGAGCCCGCCACGTTCTTTTGAGGAAATTTCTCATTGCCCTGATCCTGGCCCTGAGCGAGGGGGCAATCAGGTACAGGTATTCAAGATTTGCCAATAGATACCAAAGGACATGGTCGAACCATGTGATGGAGGTCTTACAGTCCTCCTTACCCTCCTCCACGCATCGACATTTGAGGAATGGCCTTCCCACGTTCCATATCCTCTTGAGCTCAGATATAACATCTGGCGCCCTCGTAGCACAGAAGCTTCTAATCTGAAGCTGTGAACCGGACGCCGAACACTTCGTGTGGTCGAAGTGCCCGACCATTGGCGGAGCCATGGCCTCTGTGCCAATCGGATATGGGCCCTTGATGAGGTCAGTGTCCTCACCCAGGGCCTTGTCCTGACAGAGAGTCATCTCTGCTTCAGTGAGGGAGGCTAATAGGTGATACACATTGGCGTCGATAGGAGCGTAGTGATTGAATGTGTCCAACTCCCACACCTTGTAATCAAGCCTAACAGACTCAGATTCCACCCATCTACTTGGGGCTAAGGGAAGAAACGCATTCCGAAGAAATTTAGACACCGACAGGCGCTTGTCCTTCGCCATACCCCTACCACGATCCCGCTCAGTCTTTGCTATCTCGGCAGCATGAAACTGTTTCTCCTCTTCCGTAAGATCCAAACCGTCACTGTCCGAATCAGATTCGAATGCTTCAGTGACAGGAGCGTTCACCAGTCCATTGTGAAACGCCGACTTGGCACCCCACAAATCCACGAAGGTTTTTTCCTTCATGGCTAATACATCGGCAATGGAAGCATGGACAAGGATATCATCGTCTAGAGTATCCTTGGCCCCTTCTACGAAGTCCATAGTGACCTTTGGAAAGGACGCTGTGTCATACGAGGCCGCCCAGATAAGATCCGCCTAGTCGTTAAAGCGCAAGATTGAGATGAGAGGAGGGTACGGAGGGGGAACATTGCAAGAATTGGCCTTGACGAAGTCAAGAATTACAGTGCCAGCCAGAGCAATCAGAGTTTGAGCAAGATGGGAGGGTGCCCTAAACTGATCCATCCACAAATACCTTCCCTCCACCAAATCAGAATACCATTCATTTGCTGTGGAAGTGGGTTTCTGCCACATAAACACAAACACAAACAGAAATGGGGATTAATACCGACTTACTAATTGAATTATTTTAATTCAACATTCGTCCCATAGTACAGGTCATCATTCCGGGTGGTCCTCCTGACTTTGGCGAGGGTCTAAATTGGTTACTGATGGCTTTGTAGCAGTTTGACAGAGAGGAGTCGACCCCTTTGATGGCTACAGAGGGGACTCAAGATTACCCCCCCTTTGTGTGTGTTTTGAGGAAACAGGAAGCCACTGCACCAAACACAGCGCAACAAACAATCAAGCCATTCCGTACTCTTGCCATTTCAGGTTCACGAAACTAATTCCCCAGCGGTCGCATTGAATACAATCATTCCGATATCCTGTCCCATTCATGTATTTTGTGCGGTTTGTGAGAGAACAGATATGAGACAACCATAATGGGTGGTATGATTTCCATGCAACCAAGGCGTATTTTCGGTGTATTATGTGCGTATGTAGTCGTTTGTTATAATTGAGTCGAACTGAAAAAGTGGGCTAAAGATATTATATACATCACACCATATCCGAAGTCACACAAACGGGTATGAGCAGGGAAACATTGATTTTAATTGCCAATCAATACAACCGATATGCCCTATAAAAAAAGACCATTTGGCGAGCACACATCTAAAGCCTACTACTAAATGCAAACGAGTTGAAAGGGCAATCCATACCAAGATCGATACCCAGATTAACATTCAAAACACTCAACCCCCGCCATCATATATCCCGAAGAAGTCTGTATTTCCAAAGCGATTATCGTTTATCTACGTATTTGCGACAGATAGAAGACAAACAAGAAGCCACAAAAATTCAAATCGAAACCCAGAAACAAGTGGGGAAAAAAAAACGAGATGCTTTATCATTATGTACCACCACACGCGCTCACGCCTCTCCGAATCCATTCCATCGAGGTTCTCTTCTTCTGCCCCCTATACCGTAACAGAGGTACCGTAAAAAACGCCGTAACCCAAATTCAAAACTCCAACTACGCTGAACGCGGGAGAATGGTTGACAACTCAACGCGTATCCTCGGACCGTTGTTAAGCAAAGCGCCCAAAACCTGCAAAGACAGATGCATATAGCCAGCCATTGTGCGGAAGCCAACCAACCTAACACGACCAATCGACACCCATCCGCGAGGTTACATTTATATGGACACCCGATCAGACAAACATAGAAATGCAACCCATTTACTCATCAAAAAGCATGCCGCCAGGCTCCAACCCCCTTTCCACATATAGTGAGATTGAATAACCCGTTGTCTCCGAAGAGCCGAGAAAAATTTGGACCACGCCAACTGTGCCACTGCTCCTTGTAACCCCTAGCTCTCACTGAATCGATCCTCACATCTACTGGCGTAACCGTGCTCGAACATCGCGGTGTCATTCCCCCCTTCCAACCGCCAACGTAATGGGCGGCACTTCGCCGCTCTGACTCCGTGTTACTTCGAATATTGCCAGTGTAGTGATAGATGCGCAGCCTACTTGTAGTAGACAATCGTTTTCATATCCCCTCCATTCCCCCATCAATCCATGTTCCTACGCATATCCTATCCCTTGTTACTATCCCTGCGCCTGTTCATCTTTCCCCTCAGATCCTGTTCACGCTAGGGCCAAAGATTCCTTCTATCAATCCATCTCCTTCACTGCCTTACAACGCGCTCGCTATATCAGCTCTCATATTCTCCGGTCTTGATATGACTGATTAATGCGAAGTGCAATCTCCTGCTGGCAGCCCATACATCAGAGGGAATACCGAGGACCTGATTCAGCGATGCAGGACTAAAACGCCGATTACCGCCGACATCGTGATAGAAGTACAGTACGTTTAAACCCGTAGATCGCTTATTTAGCCCCTCCCTTCCCCTAGTCCAGGTTCCCATCCATATCCGAACCCACTCCATAGCTACTGTAACCCCATCATCCTAATCTATATCCAAGTTCCACCAAGGCAAGCAGCCCCTTCCATCGTCCTTCGATCCATCGTCGAAACTTTCCACTGTGAAGCGATCCCCAACGAATTGCTATTGGTATAGCAGACTCTGCAACCGCCTGCCCCTAATGCAAAAAACCCCACGAGCGCGAAGAGGGCAAACCGCGGACATCAACACAATAGTGCCCGCCATATACATAGCCTCCACACAGAATACCTCACTCTTGCTTTTCCATTCAAGACAACCGCACGTGGACCATTTCCTCAACCCCTGCCACTGTCGCTGCAGTTGTATACCCCTCCAGGCAGATCCGAACCAAAGGCGGGCCATCGATTCCTCCTATCACCCCCTTCTCTTTATTGCATCACACTAAGCTCGTCAACCTATTCTCCACCCCCTTTTTTTTTTTGTTCAAGCCTCAACAGATTACCGCGACGCCCAATCTCTTGCAGGCTGCATATACATTAGAAGGAACACTGAAGACCTGAACCATCGATACAGGATTAACCCACCGATTATCGTCAACATCGTGATAAACGAACAGCATGCCTAAACCAATAGATCGCTTTTATAACACACCCCCTCCCTTCCAGTCTAAACCCCCATCCATACCCTAATCGTCGTCATGGTTACAGTAGTCACACATATCCCCATCCATATCACAAACATCAACAGGCAAATCATCCCCTCCATCTTTCTACTCCTTTCGACAAAATTTCTGCTATGTAGTGAACCCAGATGAGTTGCCGCTGGTATGGCCGAATCCACAATTACACACTCTCAGTGCAGAAAACTCCATAAACGCGAAGAAGACCAGTAACACGAGGAAAATCGCAAAGATCGACACTATAGCAACAACCACATACGCAGACTCCATACGGAAAATCTCACCCTCGCCTTCTGCTCAATGATTACTGCACGCAAACCAATTCCTACATCATCAATCATATGCATATAGTCATCAAGGTACAAACCACCAATGGATGGAGCCAAACGAGGTTAGGTAATACCATGCACCGAGGAAACAAAGATTATGCTCTAGTATAGAATTACCATTTTAACTTAACGACCCCAATGTGCCGACGAAACAGTAGGGTAACTAGTAGGAAGTCCCAAAAGCTTTTTCGCCAATCCCTACTATGATTGGCTCATCA